GAGGTTCTGGTCCCTCTTCGGGAGCCGGGCGGCCAGACTCGTAGACAAAAGCGACGTACCCAAGCAGTGCGAAACGTGCTGGGGCTACCACTTTACCCGCAAGTGCCATAGACAGCCAGTCTGCCAACGCTGTGGCAAGACTGGCCACTCTGGAGACGACTGCGCTGCATGGGAGCAGTGCGTCAATTGCTTAGGCCCTCACGATGCCAGCCTTCGTACGTGTCCAGCCCGGCCGAAGAAAGTGCGTGGCGTCCTCCGCCGGCTCAGCAAAGAACAACGGGAACACATAGAGGGCCTGAGACGTACCGACAACGTCACTTGGATTCACAACCAGAATCCCACATAGAAATCCGACAAGACACGACCGAGCTGCTGAGGGACGATACCCCAGCAGACGAACGTCCAGACGCTCGAGACTCGAGCCCGGCCGGCGTCACGAGCACTCGTGATATGGTGGCCACCGCCCCCAGGGCGGGTTATGAAATGGAGGAGCCCGAGCATCCTAGACCAGGCTCGCCACGAAAGCGTCGAATTGTACTCATTACTCGTCCTCATGACCAGGAATAGATATTCGCAGACACGAAAGAACGACAGGAAGCCGCTAAGTCGCATTGCAACCCCCGACTGCGCTCTGGCACTGGCTGACTCGGAACGATATGACATCGTGCTCCTGCAGGAGCCGTGGACAGCCCATACGAAAACGCCTTGCTTGACAGACCCACTACACCTCACCCAGTAGAGTCCTGGGACAGTAACGATACTCGACCTAGAGTGATGACATATGTCCGACGAGACCCAAGGCTTCTCGCTGACCAGATACGACCGTTCCAGACTCGCGATATTCTCTGGATCACAATCAATGGCGTGACTGTAGTCAACTTCTACCGCCAGAACGACGAAAGGGATGCCCTTGACACGCTGCTCCGATGGCCGCCCGGAAGCTGCCTCGTCGCTGGCGATTTCACTGAACAACGCAGAAGGGCAGACTACGGACCGCGGCCAAGAGATTGCCGGTTGGGCATCAGAGAATGACATCGACCTGCTTAACACTTTAGATATCCCACCAAACCCCGAACACAATCGCTTTTGCCAACATCCCACTTGCTGAAAGCCACTGTTGAGGACCATTCCCGTCGCCACTTCACCCTCAGCTTGACTCTCCCCAACATAAAGCCCGCTCCACTACAGCCGGGCAAGATTCGAGTGACGACAGAAGATGAGCTTAAACGATCCGTCGAGACCGTAGAGCTTGAGCCACAGAGACCCCCTCAGAGATTCAACGCCCGCGGAGCTGGACAATTGTTCACTTGTAAATCTGCTAACATCAGCAGCGAAGGCAGTGGGTCGGCCCTCACGGAAAGGTGGCTGCCCAGCTCCATGGTGGACAGAAGAGTGCGCCTGTGCGGCGGCTGCATTCGGCCTCAAGAGACCCCCTAGCTTCAATCAGGATGTTAAGATCGCCAAGAGAGACTTTCATCGCGTGGTCCGCCGAGCAAAACGAAAGTACTGGCGGGAACTCATCGATAGCTTCTCCAGCGCAGTGCTGTCTTAAGCCGTCGGGGCAAATCCGGGGCCTTCCAGCCGCCTCCCCTGCAGGTCGACGACGCTGTATACGAAACTCAGATGGACAAGGCGAGCGCACTTCGGGGAGCGTTACTGGAACGCGGAACTTCTGATGACGATATTGACCCGAACGTCTCCTCCTCGATCGATCACATTCTCACCCGAGTCCCTAGACGAGGCACAGCATGCGACTATCCATACAGGCAATACTTCCCCTGGGGCGGATAGCATCACCGTCAATCTTCTCAAACCCGGGTGGCACATCGTCGGTACGTGTTTGTTCGAAAGGTGCCTTCTTGGGTCATCACCCGGAACCATTCAAGCAGGCGGAGGTGGTCATGATCGCGAAGCCGGGACGACGAGACCTCACAAAGCCAGGGGCTGGCGACCATCTCCTTGCTCTCCTGTCTCGGAAAGGGGCTGGAAAGATTGATCGCTCGCCGCTTGGCGTGGGCAGCTGTTCACTATGGGCCTTCAAAAGCGGCGCTCCCCCAAAGGTCGGCAACAGACCTGGTGACCGCCTTGATCCACGATATCGAAGAAGCATTTGCACGCAAGAAGGTGGCCACCCTGGTCACGATGGATATCCAAGGTCCCCTTCAACCGTGCGAAGAGACTAGTCTTGCGTCTCCGTGAACAGGGCTGGCCCGACCATCTCGTCAGATGGGCTGAGTCCTTCATGAAGGATCGTTCAGCCCGCGTGAGGTATCAAGAACCCTCACGCCCTTCGCTCCTCTCCAGTGTGGACTGCCTCAAGGCTCACCAGTATCGCCCATCCTCTTCCTGCTCTACACTGAGCCAATCCACCGACTAGGCAACCCCAGGGCCGCTTCGGCTACGCAGACGACACGGCTATCCTTTCTATAGGCGACACAATAGATGAAACCACTGCACCGGCCTCCAGCTCCATCGGCGAGATGGTTCGATGGGGTGCAGCAAATGGCGTTTCGTTTGACCCGAAAAAGACCGAAGTCATGCACTTCTCTCGCAGCAACCTCAGGACCACGCCGGCTATCGCCACGGCGATGTCGAGAAGCCCCCCGAGCCAGCCTACCGGCGGGTGGGTGACAGCAGGCTACCGTTCCGCGTTCACGTCGAAAAGTGGGCGGCCAAGGCGCATGCCGTCGCCTATCATCTACGGGGTCTCGCCAACACGAAGGCCCTCCCAAGCCGTGAAGTGCCGTCATGGCTTGTGTCGAGCCGGTACTATTGCATGGATCTGAAGCCTGGTACCCGGGCACCACCAGACCGCGATGGAGTCAGCCTATAGAGACACGCCATCGAGCAATCAACATCTCATACAAAGAATGAACAAGGCCTTACACCAGTCCATGAGAGCCATACTGCCCATCTGGAAAACGACGCCCATCACCATCCTCCACCCCGAGAGCGCCATACCCGGACTTGGAAAAACGGCGATGGAGATTCTCCGCGCGGCTCAAATCACTTGACGACGCTCATCCTCTTGTGCGGAGAACGTTGCCAACCCTACTACTACCACGATTCATAAAGCGAAGGTATCAACAGGCAGAAAATAGCTTTAGAACACGACTCCGACGCACAGATGAGCTTCTTGTCTCGTGCAGGCGTCCTAAGCTCCTCCAGAAACGCTTCCAACAAGAAGAGATGCCACCCTTGCAGACAGCATCAAAGGAGAAGACAGCCAAGGCCTTTCTCCGCTGGGTC